TTGGCGCAATACGCTAAAATAATTACCGCATTTTAAATGTACGTTATAGTAAAAACACCATTGCTTGCCCGAAAAGGAAATGGGAAAACCTCCGGATAGCACGGCGAACGGGCTTAAGCGTTCGGGTAATGGCAAATGCATGTTAGCGGTATTTAAATTTATTAAAGGGCGAAAAAAAAGCATTTTAAAATTATTTATTAAAGCATTAAAACTTAATTAATAATTAAAAATATTAAAACTTCGCAATGCTGCAAAAACAATATAACGAAAGGAAATTATGGTTTTAATTGTAATAAATTAACGAAAAAATTTAAAATTAATTACCTTTCGAAAAGGAAATACCAATAATTAATTAAAAAAATATGTAAAAAAAATCGATTAAATGCCGTATTTAAAAAAACCAAAACTTTTGGAAATTACGTCCTTTTTGTTAGCGCTATAATCGTTGCCGTTAAAATCGTTAGCGCTAAAAGCGGCACTTTTTAACGTTAATACGAACGCTGTACCCTTACGGGAAACCGCGCGATTGTAAGCTTGGGTATCCAAATACGCCGCAATTATAGCAAAATTAACGGCAATGCTATTAAAAAAAGCAACCATACTTTTTTCGAAACGCTTAAAAAATGCTTTTATTTCGTTAAAAAAATTACCGATACCAGCCAAAGCTTAAGCTTGCCTTTTTGTTTAAACGGCGATAGCGTAAAATTATTAGGAAATGTTTTAAATAACTTTTAATATTGCAGCGCTAGCAATTTTGCGCTAAATGCGCTTTTGGATAACGGTTTAACGTTTATAGCGCGCAAATTGTTCGGTTAATATGGTATAAAAAAATTTGGCTTTTTAAATAGCTTTGCGGGCGCGAAATTAAGCTTTAATAAACTTTTCGAAAAGTTTCGGTATTGCTTTAAAAAACCGCTAATAAACGGTATTTAAAATTTTGTAAAAATTTTAAACCATTTTTTAAAACCATTTGGAAAGTTTAACGCAAGCTTTATTACCGATTACGTTTTTGCAATAAATGCATTTGGAAAACCCCGTACAATTATTAAAGCATATCGGCATACAAAGGTTAACGGCATAATTTTAATATGCTTAACAACCAAAATAACGGCCATAAAATACCGTACGTTCCGTATAATTATTTTTAAAAAAGGGCAAATAAATAAAATTCCAATTATTGCTTTATTAAAAATCGATAACCTTTTGCAACGGGAGCGCGTTGTAAATATTTATATAAAGCGAAAAAAAAGCAATGTTCGTTTCGAAAGCAAATCCATTAAAATCGAAAGCGTTGCGGCGGCGTTCGTTGCGCGTTTTACGCTTTTTTTCGGCGGAAGTTTTTTTACCGCGGCGGTTAAAACCCGCCGGGGGGTTACCGGCAAAACGCTTGCGGGAATTTTAAAGGGTTGCAAGCGCAAAAAGGCCCAATAAACCCGTAGCATTTAAAAAGCTTACCAAAAGGTTACCGGCAAAGCGATTGTTAAAAATTTAAAAAATTAAAGGTTCCGGCAAATTCGAATCCGGGTTTAATTAAATTACAATAGCTAAGGAAAATACCGGAAGGTTGTTAAAAAGGGCCAACGGGCCGGTTAAAACCGAAAAACCCAAAACGGATATTTAAAAAAACATTACTTTCCTTACGTAATTGGGTACAAAAAATAACATTTACAGTTACCGGTTAAATTTAAATGTTTAAAAAGAACGGCTAAATACCAATTACTTACGGTTACAATCGTTAAAATTATTAAAATAGTTATTAAATGCACAAAAAGGAAAAAAAAAGGGCTCGTAGCTTTAAACGGGAAAAAAAGCTTTTTATATGCCGGTACGGACTTACTTTTCCAAATGCTATAAAACTTTATAACCGGTTTCCTTAAGCGTTGCCGGGCATTGGGGCGGCTTAGCGGAATACCGTAAGTTACCGGCTACTTACGGGGTTGTACGCGCGGTACAAACGGTTTGGAACAAACCGTATCGGGAAAAGGCAATATATTAAAAGCACGGGCGAAACCGCCCGGCAAAAAGCGGGGAGCGTTAAATGCACGGGCAAAACCGCCCGGCAAAAAGGAAAAAAAAGGCATTGGCATAATTGGCCGGGCACGGACCTTTTTGGTAACGTGCCGGCAAAATGCCGGTATTACGGCCAAAGCATAATGGCGAAGCTAAAAAATAGGGTAAAGCTTAAATTGCACGAAAGCGCTTAAAACGCGAA